ATTAGTGTGTTTAAACTGCAGAAATGCGTTTATGATATGTTTTACTTCCTTTGGTTTGTTGTCAGAATGTGGGCACCACCCAGGCCCAGTTTGACCTGCTGCAGAGTTTCACTGAGGTGACTCAGAGCTCTGAGACTGTTCAGCCAGAGGACAGAACCACATGGGCAGGGCTGTCATGTGGCTACTGCAATAAGACCTTCAAGACCAGTGGAGGCCTTAATAGACACGTTTCACTGGTGAGAATGACTTATAATTACTCCACCACTATTGTGCAGATTATCCATCCTTACGATAACCTTTGTCTTCTGTGCGCCCTTTTTGTTTGTCCAGATGCATGCACTTTCATCACAGTCCCGCTCTCAGTTCAGCTGCTCCGCCTGCGACCGCTCCTTTCCCCTTCTCTCCTCACTCCTCACCCACCAGCACTCGCACACCCCTGAGCAGCGTCTCCTGGCTGAGGCAGAAGCAGAGATAGTGTGCCCTCCGTCCCTTTCCCTGTCTATCCCTCTGCCTTCCTCTCCCAGCCAAGCTGACAAGCAGCAGGGGGATCAGAGGGAGATCCATGTTGACATCATTACCGTTGGTGAAGAGCATGAGGAACAGCCAGCCAAACCGGCCAAAGCCCCCAAAAAGACAGGAGTCAGCAAGAGCACTCCTGCTGGAGGTAAAGGCATTTTGATAACAGAACAGACACACACTGCATTTTGACATGGAGGCAATGGAGATTCATATTTAATATTATCCTTGTTTTGATAAATACTGTCCGTCTGTACTGGTAATTCTATTAATGAAAGACCATCCATGCTGTATTCAGAAGCAGAGTGGATGAGACATTTCTGGCAACATGGGAAGTTGATCTTTTTTTGTCCTTAAGATAGGTTAACGTAAGAGGTTGCTTTTTTACTGTAATAATTACTACACTGGTTTTCACAAATGTGACAATGTTTCCCACACTGTCATTCAGAGAGGCCATACCGCTGTTCAGAGTGCGGAAAAGCCTTCAAAGGTTCATCTGGGCTAAAGTACCACATGAGGGATCACACTGGGGAAAGGCCCTACCGCTGCACTGAGTGTGGAAAGAGCTTCAAAAGGTCGTCACTACTTTCAATCCATCAGAGGGTAAGACTCAGTCTTCTGTTCTAACACATTTTCACACAAGCTTAAGTTCCAAGTGAAAGATCCATGATTTGGGAGCTGACCTTCATGATTTAGTCATAGTGGAACTCCACATTTCTCCACTTTACTGAGGTTGTGGCTCTCCACTATAGTACACACCCCTGCAGATGAATGCAGTCTACAAAAGACAAATCCAAACAGCAATAAAAAAGAAAACTCTGCAATTACAGCACTCTTGTGGCTGTATTTTAATGTCCCCTTGTTGGCTGCCACTCGTGGGCTGCATTTAGTTCCTATTGGAAGAAACAGGAATAAAGGGTTTTTCAGTTTCAAAGCATTCTTTGTGAATTGTGCTCATTAGAACACACACAGATACACACACAGATACACACACATAAAATCATTCATATTAACAAATGTTAAAGTAACCCCACCATAGATTTGCTGCAGATATGTCCAGTTATGTGCTGTGATTATAACTTAGAAAATTGAATTATTTAAAGGTTGGCTTTATTTTTTAAACACTGAAATCTTCTAACATAATAATAAAAAATGTATTTACACTTTACCCAGGTCCACACTGGTGTGCGGGCTTTCCAGTGCCCTCATTGCCCTCTCACTTTCAAATGGAGCTCTCACTACCAGTACCATTTGCGGCAGCACACTGGTGAGAGGCCATATGTGTGTAAGGAGTGCGGCAAGTCCTTCAAGAACACCAGCTGTCTGCGTCGACACAGTCAGATGCACACTGGACTGCGGCCTCACATCTGCTCCATCTGCTCAAAGTCTTTCTCCCAAACATCAAACCTCAAACAGGTCAGTGCCGCCTGTAAAGATTCAGCTGTGAACTCTCATCTGTTTGTATTGAAGAGATTTGTCTTATATTACAAACTGTTCTGTTAATTTCTCTTTCTTCTTCTCTGAGAGCAGCATGAACGCACCCATTCCGGCGAGAGACCCTTTCAGTGCACACACTGCAATAAAAGCTTTACACACTCCTCCAACCTTCAGCTCCACCTTCGCACACACTCCTCACGCAAGGACTTCAAATGCCAGTACTGCTCCAAAGAGTTTGTCATGCACTCCTACTTGCAGAGGCACATCCGCACCCATGGCAGCAGCGTTCCTCTGCCCTGTCCTGGTGGTGGAGGTCAAGACGGTGTGGCTGTGAAAGCCAGTGTTGGAGGAGTAACAACCACTACAACCCTGCTTAACCCCATTACCCTGGAAGCCTCAGGAAACAATAGCAGCTTGATTGTGTCCCAGCCAGCTCTCAATATCCCCCTCAACACCTCCCAGAACTACTTTATGATTCAGACAGTCAGTGGCCTGCAGCTCATTCCTCTGTCATCCCCAACACCTGCACCTCCACCCCCTCCTCCTCCACCACCACCTCCGTCCCAGCCCCAAAACTTCCTCCTCCTGCAGTGCCCCTCCAATAATGGCAGCCAGTCCAGCTTGATTCTTGTTCCCACAACAAACAACCCTCCACCAGCTCCAGAGCCTCAGTCTCTGCCTGTACTCCAGACAATCCAAGCACTCCAGCCCGTCCTAAACCAAACACAGACTCAGATAACCCAGTATCCAACTGTATCACAGCAACAGCAGCAGACCAGGATCATAATCACCAACAACAATAACAATGCAAACACTCCTGTTGCCACGCGAACGCATACCCTGTCAGCGAACTCCCTACTGACTAAGCCCATATTAGGGAAAAGCACACGGACAGCACGGAGCAGACGGGGACGCAAACCAAAAGTTATTCTTCAGAAGACAGCTCCTGTCAGTCAAATTACAGGTGGAGCTTTGTCAGCAACAAACTGTATTGTGCCACAAAGTATCCCAGAGACATGTGCTACTACCACAGAGACATCACCATCATCTGTAGCCACTGTTTCCTTGTCAACATCTTGCACTACAATCTCAACATTTCCTTCCTCCACCTCTGTAGTCCACACAGTGGACACCTCAGGGCCCCCATCAGCTGTTACTGTGGTTACACCAGCCACCACATTAGCCACAGCATCAGTTTCTACTCCTATCCCCGCTGCGCTGGAACAGAAACCTCATACCACTGTTGGGCAAATGAGGACAAGGCAGACCGTGACAGGGAAACAGTTTGTGCTGTGTTTTGATAATGAAGAACAGGCAAAGGATGGGTTGAATATTGAGGAGGGTGGGGAGTCTTATGTGTTACAGTTTGAAGGGGATGCATCAGCTGAGGCAGTTGATGGGGGAATGGGTGGAGAGGGAAAGTCACTTGTGCTTCAGTTTAAGACAGATGGGCAAGGTGATGAAGAAAAGGGAGAGGATAAGGGAGGGATGATGTCACTTCTGCACAACTGGGGTGGAGAAAAGCAGGGTACAAGACATATGGGAGAGGGGAGCAGCCAGGGAGAATCTTATGTCCTTCATTTTCACACTGAGGCACAGGACAGTGGTTCATCCAGTGCCACTTTCAGCCCAGGACAAGAAAACAGGCTGCAGCTTTCCTGCACACCAACCCGAGGTTTGGTGCCTCTTGACGGGCAGGAGGTGGTGTTTGAACTCGGGGGTGAGACCAAAATGGAGCAGGAAACTGAGGAGGGTATGCAGATGATAGCCCTGATAGAAGGGGAAGGGGGAATGATGGGGGAGGATGGGGTAGGTTGCAATGCTTCAAGTGGTAGGGTTACTGAGGGTGGAGGAGCCATGGAAGGTATATTCCAGCTGGAAAATGGGGAGGAAATTGTCATCATCGAGGTCAGCACCAGTAGTTTGAGGGAAGGGAGAATAGAGAGAGGAGAGGACGTGGACATCTCACAAAGCAGTGAGGTAAAATACGAGGCCGCGACTGCAGAGGCAAATGAAAAGTCTGTGAAGGAACCCAACTCTGCAGCCAGCACAGAAGTACAGACACCCACCGATGACACAATAAGAAATGGACCTATACCTAGTTCTGAAGAAATGCGGTTCTCTGACTAAAACCTGTGTTTGTGTGTGTGAGTGCATGAGCGTGCGTGAGCGTGCATAAGTGCGTTAATGAATGCCTCACTTATGTGAGCTCAGCGTGTGAGCACTTTAGTCAGTTCTCATGGAACTGAGAGGAGAACATGCAATGAGATGAGTACTCTGTCGTAATACCATGGTGCCACATATTAGAAATGTTATACATTCAAATAGGCTGTTCATGGACACCTCAGAATATTCCCCAGAAATTAGTTTGAATGATACTGTCATTGGCAGTTTGTTTATTAACTCAGTAAGTTTGTGAATAAATGTTGTAAATGGCCTTTTCTTCTAAACCTTAATAACTAATAATAAGTAATTATCATTAAATTTGTTTTGTCTTACCTCTTTGTCCTGAGCCTTTTTTTTTTACACAGTTATATTTTAGTTTTAGTTTATTACTTCCACTAAGGAGGGTATGTTTCCATCTGTTTGTTATTTAGCAGACTTACACAGGAACTACTGGACGGATTAACACAACATGGATGTGGAATAGCTCACGGAACAACCCATTACATTTAGGTGTGGATCCAGGATTTTCTTTTTTTTATTATTTAGATTTCTCTGAGAATAATTCTGGATCTAGTGGATTTAAAATATCTTCATTTCATGGTAACAAATACACCTGCAACTACCACTACTGAGTAGAGATAAAGTCATAAAGTAAAGGTATGAAGGAGTTTGACATATCTTTCACTGATTCAGATGAATATTTGACATGTTTCCAGATCTGTCTGTTTCTTGAGAAATAATTTATTATCCCACAAAAACCAGGCATATAAATATAAAACTATTGTGTGTGTGTGTGTGTGTAGTACAGAAATCCACCGTATTTGGAGCGCTGTTTTTCGATTCACGTAGGGTCTCCGCCGTACGGATTGTACGTACGCAAATGGCGTAGATCGACCCATGGAAAACGTGTAACGTGACCACAAAGCTGAGTACGTTTGCTTTCAGAATCCCTGTGTATACGCAAGAAACGTCTCTGTGTTCATTTCACCAAAACGTGCTGAAGCTGCGCGAACACAACAGCCGGACACAGACTCGTACAGTTTGGATTCACCATCTTTCAGCGTATTCTCTGCTGGGTGAACGCAGGAGGTAAGTGGGGCAGGGGGCGTTTTTAACGTGGGGGGAACGAGGGGTCCACATGTGTCAGGAGATCGTCGTGATCACCTTACAAGGATCTGAACCAGGTCCTGTAGCTGTCGACCTTAGCTCTGGTGATCGTGAGGATGAAAATATAATGTAGAAACACAGAAGCAGGGCGACACATGCATGCAACAAATCCTCCATAATCCCCATCTGTCTGTGTTGTTTGTGGCCAGCGTGGGTGTGATGCCTCTGCACACTTCTACTGACTCACTGGATGAGGAGTCCAGTGCATTGCATAATAAGAATTGCCAATGTTGTGAAAGCACTAGTATCACCATGTCACTTTATCTGCATGATTTTTAGTATCAAGCATCCTAGAGCGTAGGTACCTAGAGTATAAATATAAATAATGGCATCCTCTTGTCCATGCACTTTTCTTCTGTGTGTGTAGGTTCCTGGTGTGGATGTTGGCGTTTGCACCACACTGTGTAGAAAACCGCAGGCCGGTCTCAACATGGTGAGGCTGGAGCTGGATAAGGTGGCGATGAGGAGGATGAAGGAGGATGATATTGAGATGATCAAGGCCCTCATCAAGGTTCGTATGTTCTTGGACACATTCATTTCAGATGAACATGTGTCCTTAGGGGCCTTGTGTTCAGTGTAGTTCAAGTAGCAGACTTTAATAACTCACAAAGCATTGAATTACAGCCGGGTTCATCTCTTTTTTGAGTCCCCGGGAAATGTTTCCGGTGTCGTTTCTGTATTTGCATGTGAAGCCCATGTGTCGTTAAATTGATGATGTTTTCTGAGTTGGCTCATTTGTGAGTTTACTTGTATTTAACATCATTTTATTAAAATGTTTTAACTTGTGTCAATTTCTCTGTCCAGGAGGGCTGCGAGGGCACAGAAAACCGTCTCATCCTCCACATCCTCACTCGTCCGCTGTGCCTCTTCGTCTTGGCCATTATCTCCTCAATGCTGCGCTGCATCGTTCACTCCTTTATCCTGGCCCTCGCTATTCCTGTCTTCCTACTTATTATCTTTCTCAAAATCACCATGCCACGGTCCACAGGGGTTCTGGGCAGCAGCCGCCCCTACTGGGACTATGTGGGCAGCAGCTACCGGGGGCCGCAGGAAGAGACACTGCAGAATCCCTATTGTAGGATCAGCGGCAAAACACCACTGACAAAAAAGGTGAGTGTGCTGGTTTTCCAGCAATGTTACTTTTTTATGATTAAGGATATGCTTAATTGTCGTGAGCAAATATTGCAGACTTTTAATAAATTTACTTTTCTTCAGCCAAGATCCAGAATCGGATCCAAAGACAAGGACAAGGACAAGGAGGTGTCAACAGAGAAGGTCACCCCAGAGCGGGAGCAGGCGGCAGGACACGTCTGGGTGGCGGACTGCGATGGGGAGATCCTGGGCTGCATCTTCCGGGAGAATGAGACGAGAGCAGGCATCAGGAGAATCTGCAGGGTGGTGACAGGCTGCTGGTACCGCAGGGAGGGCCTGGGTCGGCTGCTTGTCCAGAGTCTGGAGCAGAGAGAGAGGGCAACTGGAGCACACAGAGTCTATGCACACATCCCCTACCCTTCTAAGCTGGGGGAGGCTTTCTTCAAGAAACTGGGTTATCACCAGCTCGGGGAGGGGGCTGATGAAGAAGACGAGGAGGAGGTGAAGCTGGAGAAACCAGAGAGAGGCTTTATGGGATATCCCCTCACTAAGGTGTTTTACAAAGACCTGTGATTGAGTGATGAGCGAATCGTGAAGTTAAAAAGGTGGCTGTGAGCGTAAAGATGAAAAAACATGAGCGCAAACTGTGGATCTCTGCTGTGTCATGTTTGGATTTGTGTTTAAGTTAATAATTTATATGCCTGTATTTATTGACTGTTTGTGTTGCTGTTCTGTTTGTGTGTTTGTTTCAGTATATTTTGTTTTTCATCATCGAAAGCACAATTTCTAACAATTATTTAAGAATTCAAAGATGACATCACGATGCCTCAGGTCCTCTGTTCTCTATCATGTGTGCGATGAAGTAAAATATTTATTTAAATGTCGGCAGAGAAAATGTTTTTTACTGAGTTACTTACTATGAGTTTTTGAAGTCATAGTAAATGGGTTTGTGGGCGTAGAGAATTGAACGCACTTCTTTGTGTGTGAAACCTAACAGATGTGTAGGAGGCTGCACTGTTACTGTATAGGAAGTGTGTGTGGTTTTTAAGAACCTGCAGAATTTGTCCTTGGCTGCCGCTGCTCCCCTTATGTACAGTATATGACTCTGCAAAAATAGGGCATCCTCCTTTAGCTTCCTCTCTTTCATTTAGAATTCTTTGTTATATTATATATACATTATTTAATTACAAGGAATATCAGTGAATGAGAATTTCAGATTCTGCATTCATTAATGGTGATCGTGACAGTATATGTCTGCTGAGTCAATATGTTACTGCTGAAAGAGATGAATAACTGGTATAACTTTGAAATTTCATTTTTATTTCCCTTATTATTTTTCATTATAATAAGAGACATTTTATGGTTTTCTCACAAATGTGTTTTTATATCGCTTTATGTTTATGTTATATAACTTTATGGTTTTACGTGTCACACAGAATAAACTATCTTAGGGACTATCTTGGGCTGTGGTGACATCAATAATTAAAATGATTAACATCAAATATTATATTTAATGCTTTTTTATTACAAAATTAGTGTTTCAAACTCATTTGCACAGCATTTACAACCTGTGTGGGGGTATTCTGACTCGAGAATGTGTGTGGTTTGCAGGTGAAGGGCACTTTATGTATCTAAGTGGAGGGAAATGCACACAGCCTGAGTCTGAGGCTAACCTTGATATGGTTAGCAGCCCTCACACTTGCATGAAGAATCTACCCAGCTTCAAACCTCAGCCGATGTCAGTGTAGCATCAACATGCCTCAGATAAACACCACAGGATGTTTGTACACTGTTAAAGTGTGTGGGAATGGAGGCATATCTCACCTGATGCAAAGACAAATAGAAGCTTATACTTTACTGCTGTAGCTCATGACCGTGCAAAGCTGTAGTGGAAAATCACTGTCCTCTAATTAACTTGGATGAAAAAGCTGAGCTGTAACACATCAGTGTTGTTACATGCACAACTAAGTGTGTGGTCAGGCCATTTTCAACTTGTAAAAGCTGTATTTTTGCTTGTGACACTTCTTGGTCATCACCAGGTTGTTTCTTCATGAGCAGACACCTGTTAGCTGGGCCTCTACCCGCCTGATCTGTAGCTATTATTGTTGTCAGGAAACAGATGTGAGTTCACACACTGGAAAGAAAGTCTGTTTGTGACTGTGGTCTTGTGTGTCTGCACGTTATGGCTGTGTGTAAGTGTGTGTGTGTGCGCGTGTGTGTACAGGGTGTGGGCGGGTGGGTTTCGGAAAGTATGACTTGGCATTTCCTACACCCGGTTTCTGCCCCTGACTACGGGTTAAATGCACAGCCATGTCTGGCCGTACCGAACTGCACCACACACGCACAGTGCACAAGAGGGGTGGTAGTGCACGTGAGTGTCCATGTGTGACTGTGAGATGACCTTGGTCAGCTGTGGTCAAACCAAGAGAGTTGGGTGGGAAGTGGTTTCATACAGTTTGGCATTTGATCAGCCTCTTGAAGTCGGGAAAAGACATGCACACAAGATCAAATGTGCAGAGACATTAGGCTTAGTGCACTGTCAGAGTAATGCGATATGATGTGAGGTTGTTCTGGGCATACAGACACACATACACAATCATAGGATAAATTAAATGAATTTGTTCCAGATGATGTACAACATATAGACTGCGTTAATGGCATCCTCGTACAGATGGCTAACGCACATGTAGCACATACACGCACAGATGAGCTCCAAAAACAGCCACCCTGGGAAACGGTGAATTCCCCAAACCACAGAGTGCATGAGAGGGTGAGGGGAGTCATGGGAAAGCAGAGTGCCTGCATGCAGTACCACTGAGAGAGCAGACTGGGCCAGAGCTAAAACAGACAGAGAGAAGAAAAGACGAGAGCAAAATAATAGACATCCTCATTTGGCGAGGGCGGATGACAGCAGCTGATGGTTCAAAGGCTTATGAGTGAGATTTATCCACACACTGTGGTCGGTCAGCTGGCCGGACAGTTAAACAGACACGTAAGGCGAGGGAGGTCGATGACAGTTCTGCTCCCAGCCTGACACAGTTTGGGAAAACCCAGATCAGAGGACAAAGGAGGTGTCAGGGCCTCTGAGGTCTGGGAACGCCTATGGCTCCACCAGACCTTGGGGCTCAGAGAGGTGGTGAGCTTGATAGGTGAGGTGGGTGAATAGCAGCAAGGAGCGGTGCAGATCCCTCTACATCAATGTGAGAAGGTATCTGGGAGTTCTTTCTTCATTATGAAGGAAAACTAAAGTGAAAGGGCCGGTGACTGGATGAGTCTCAAGTGTTTGGAAAGTTTCAGCCAGTTGGCAGAGTTTAGTGACGTCTGTGAAAAACTCCAAAGGTTACAAATCACGTCAAACGCTCCTCTAACGTGTGGTCACTCAGATTGTTGTGCAAAATCTGTGTTGTGCAATGTTTAACCAAAAAAATTTCCTTTAAGGCCTTCTACCAAAAGAATGGTTTCACTTTAGCCATTATGTAAACTAATGGTAATTCCAAAGAGAAAGGACATAAAAACCACAGTGTCCTTAAAAGAATAATTGAAAGATGAGTAATTCATTTGTAGCTTTAATTGTTTGCAGCAAGACAATGCATCTATCATCTCTTTTCTATCACGCCCCTGAACTTACTTTGAAAAAACAATCCGTCCAACCAGAAGCTGCTCTGTAGTGTGCAGGATGTTTATGTTTAGGGGTATATGTTCTCAGTTCCCTCCCTTTAACCCTTCATCACACACACACACACACACACACACACACACACAC